GCTCCCACCGCCGGCCGCTGGGGGGGGCGCGCGGCGCCGGCGCCGCGGCTTCCGCCCGCGCCCCGCCCCGGGCTCGCCCCGCGCCCCGATTGGCCGGGCGGCGGCGCGCGCCGAGTCAGGGGGCGGGGCCCGCCCGGCTACAAAGCGCCGAAGGTCACGGCGCCAGCAGGCGCGCGCCCGCCGCCCGCCCCGCCGCCCGCCCGCCGCCGCCGCCCGCCATGGAGGGGGTGAGCGCGCTGCTGGCGCACGGCCCCGCCGCCGGCCTGGCCGGGGGCCTGGGGGTCACGGCGTGCGCCGCGGCCGGCGCGCTGCTCTACCGGATCGCGCGGAGGTGAGTGCGCGGCCCGCGCGGCCCGGCCCGCCCCGGCCCGCGAGCCCACGCGGGCCCCGCGCGCCCCGGCGCGGCCGGGCGGGGGCCGGGGGGGCGGGGGCGGCGCGGCGGGGCGGCGGGCCCCGCCCGGATCAGCGCCCGGGCCGCAGCGGCCCCGCGCCCGCGCGCCCCACACCCGCCGCCGCGTCGGGCGGGAGGCGCCCCGCGACCCCCTGGGCCGGCCCCGGCGCAGCCCCGGCCGCTCCTCCTTGTCGCGGTCGCCGCCCGGCGCCCCGGAGAGGCCGAGGGACAAAAGGGCCCGCGGGCGGGAATGTGTCCCCCGCGGGGACACTGGCTGTGAGCTGGGCCGTCGGGGGGGCCGAGCGGCGGCTCCTGGGCCCGGGCCCCGCGCGCCCGCCTCGCGGGGCTTCCGAGGGCTCGAGGGCTCGTCTCGCCAGACCCCCCGCCAGGGGGGTGAGAACCAGCAGGGCCGGGGGTGCGCGCTGCCGAGAGGGGAAGCCGCTGGCGGCCAGGGGCCCCTCTGGGACGCGCGCGGGGCAGTCGGCCTGGGCTGAGGCTGCTCTAGGTCACCCCCACCTGCATGGCCTGAGTCTCAGGCTTGAGGGAGGAGAGAGGTGGGCGGGGCGTCAGGTGCGGGCAGAACTCTCCCTGGCGGTGCGGAGGGGCCGCCAGGAGGGGCGCGGGGATGGGGCAGTGCCCTGCTCAGAGGGGTCTCCGCCCGCGCCAGGTTCCTGTCCACCTTGTGCAAGGGAGAGGGACTTGCGGACCAGCCGCTTCAGACTGGCCATTTATGCTCCTGGTGATTTGCTCAGATTCCCAGGGCAGGTCGGCAGCAGAGCTGGGGCCTCCGAGGTAACCCCAGGTGGGGAATGTTTGCCCAGACCCGGCCTGGACCAGGGCCTTGGCCCCAGGCTTTGCAGCCCCGTTTAGAGGGCTGGACTCACCTGGGTTTGCGCCCGGGTCTTGCGCTGCGGCTGTGCTCAGGGGTCCCGGCTCCCCTCCTGGACCACACCTTCCCTGGCCCGAGAGGGATGGGGCCAGGTGCCCAGGAGGGTGCACGGGGACAGCAGAGCTGTGGGACCTGTTGGTTGGGCTGAGAAGGACCAGCCAGGCCCGACACTGAAGCCCCTGGAGAGCTGGTTTCGTCTGGGCAAGATGAGCGGCAGAGCCGACCCCAGAGGAGTGTGCTGCGACAGTGAGGGGTCTGCCTTGGCCCCACGTGGGTTTTGGAGGACCCTTGCAAGGGCAGGCAAGGAGCTTTGTTTTAGGAAGGCGACTTGGCCCGCTGGTGTTTGTGGGCGAGGCGCGGAGGGTGCAGAGGGACGAGGCACCTTCTCTACAGCCTGCCGCCTCCCGAGCCTTGGGCTTCCTGCCCATGCCGTCCTGACCAGATCACTGTTAAGATCCGGTGCTGATGGAGCCTGCACCCCCACTCTACAGAGGAAGAAGGCTTGGAGATGGGGGTCCTCCTGCACACTCCCTCCCACCCTTGGGCTCCCAGCTCCACCTCGCGTTCTTGGTCCCACTTGGCCAGGGCTGTCTGTGCCATCTCCAGGGAAGCCCAAGTCCCACCTCCCCAGTCTCCCCTGTCTGGGCAGCTGTGCGGCTTCGTGGGCCTGCTCCCCCAGACTCCACTGCCCCCCTTCCGCCAGGACCTGCCTTCTGTCAGCACATTGCTACTCACGGCCTGGGGCCTCCGGGCACCCCAGGTGCATTGTCCATGCTCTGGAGTTTGGAGGTCAGGAGGAGAACTGCCCCTCCGCCCCAGTCAGAGGTGGGCCTGTCCTGCATCCAGAGTCCGTTCTACTGGGCTGCGCTGGCTGTGGGGACAAGGCTCCCTAGATATTCACAGGCCCCCTGCCCAGCACCCCATGTGTTTGAATGCCATCTGCTCCTCGGCCCCGCTGATGGCAACCCTGTCCATCCTCAGGGTGAGCCCGGGGCTCCCTGTTGGCCTCTCTCCGTGGGCCTGTCACCAGCTGCCCCAGGAGGCTGTGCTGCTTGTCCTTGTGTCCAGCACTTGCCGGCACCCCCGCTGTGGCAGTAAGAGCAGGGCCGTCCCGGTGGGCTCGGAGGCGTCTGGTGGTGCTGGCAGGGCCACTGTGCACGTGAGTGTTTCGAGAGGAGACCCTCGGGTCCTGGGGCATGTTTTGGTGTCCCCAACACTGCAGCCCAGCAGGCTCCTGGAACTCTCCCTGTTGTGTGGGAAGAAAAGAGCCTCCGGGGGGGGGCTGGCAAGGACTCCCTCTCCTGTGAGGCTGCCCAGTGAGCCTAACCTCTGGGCCCCTGAGGGAACCTGAGTTTCAGTGACCAGATCCCCGGGGCTCAGGGGCACAGGCCAGGTGGGCGGCTGACACCAGTCTCCCCCAGGCTTGGACTGGGCACACCCCAGGTGCCTGGCTCTGGCAGGGGAGCCTTGGAGCGGTGGGCTCATCCTGGCGCTGGGCCCCACCCCACCTGGGGAACGGTGAGATGTCGGGGCACGGTGTCGTGTTAGCCGCGCATCTGGGTTCAGGGCTGGGGGCCACGCTCTCAAGAAGGCCTGTGCTCCTCTTTTTCTCCGTGTGTGTTGGGCGTGTGGAGAGCGGGGGCAGCCCGACACTGCCCCGTCGGAGGGATGTCCTGCTGTCACCACACACCCTCTGGCTCCTACCAGAGCTTTGTCCCAAACCCTCACCAGGTGGGGCTCTTGGCTCAGAAGGGGCCTCTCCCTGGGCAAAAAAGGGCTCTGGGCTAAACCAGAACTGGCCTGGAGTGGATCGGCACAGGCGCTCTCGCCGGGTGGGTGCGCACCAGAGCCCAGGCCTGAGGTAGAGACCATCCAAGCTGGGGGGTCAGGGCAGTCACTTGGCTGTCATGGGCCTGCGGGCCCTGCAGGGCTTGCCCCAAAGCAGCCGTGGAGGTGCCCCCTTCCGTGGTGGGTGGGCTCATCCTGGCGCTGGGCCCCACCCCACCTGGGGAACGGTGAGATGGGTGGCAGCTCCTGTGGCCTGGGAGAGGACACCTCCACTCCCGCCACCCTCACCTCGCGTGGGGGCTGCCAAGGGCCGGCAGTGATGGGGGCTGGAGCTGCTGGCCCAGGAACAGGCCTGATCCCACCTCCCTTCCGCCACAAGCCTCACGGCTCCATTTCCTTAGCAACCAGCCTGAGAGGGAGTGGAAATGACTTCCTGGGAGGGCGGGGCTGTGGGCTGGGCTCAGTCCCACCATTGGTCCCGGGGGCGGCCTCTTTCTCTCTCTCCTGGGGCGGGGAGCCAGCCCTCTGCCTGGCTTCCCTGCAGAAGCCCAGTGGGTCTGGGGGTGAGGGGGCTGAGGGCCCTCCGGGAGGATGGAAGGATAGAGGGTGGAGGTCCACGGCCTGCGTGACAGCCCACCAGGGCCCGCCCCCGCGCACAATTACAAAGAAGCCTGCAAAGCAGGGACAAAATAGCATGCCCAGGATTGCGGGGCTGGCATCTGGGCAGAGCCGCTGCGGGGACCCCCCACCACTGCCCTCGCGGGAAGCCCCGGGAGGCCGCCCCAGAGCCGGGCTCAGCTCCCTGAATCCTCTGTTTGATCCTGGAGGGGCCTGTCCAGAGCAGGGGTGGTCACCTGCCACTACGCCAGCAGGGGACGGACTCCCCAGAGGCCACACCGGTGACCTCAGTGCTGGGCTGGCAGGTCTTTATTGTCCGCAAGAGGCTTTGCCTGGTGTGGTGTTGCTGCTCCCGCTGGGCGGTCCAGGTGGACCCTGGGACCCGTTGGCCAGGCCTCCCCCCTGCCCTTCCCCAAACTGTCTGATCCAGGCCAGGCCTGTGGCGCACTCCCACCTATCACTCCCACCTGAGATCGGGGTGGGGGCGGGGGAGGGGGGTTTGGCCCCAGTTGACAGGTGGCCAGGCTGAAGCATGGAGGGGCCAGGCCAGGATGTGTCCAGAGTGTCGGGAGCAGGAGCTCCGCGGACAGGCCCGGCCGCCTTCCAGGCCCCTGACGAGCAGGGACGGGGTTGGGGCAGAACTGGCCCTTTGCCACGCAGAGCGCATTAGTGTCCTGTGCCCTTGGGTCCTCGTCACACAGGTGCCTTGGGTGCTGAGTGCTAGCTAGCACTTTGTGGGTGTGGCTGAGGCTGGCTGCGGCTCTGCTTCTCAGACCTCCACAGACAGTGGGGCTTTGTGTGGTGTGACTATCCACTGCAGCGTGCACCCGGGCGGAACCCCCACAGCTGGAGCTAGCCACTGGGGGGCCTGACCCCAGGCTCAAGCAGCTGTTACCCTCCGCCCTCACTTTCCAGACTGCTGGGTGGAGGGGGTTGTTGGGCAGTTGCCGCCCCCACCACCACCCCCACCCCTCCACACCCAGAGAGGAGAGCTGCGGGGCCAGAGCACAGATTCCCCTGTGCCTGGGCCAGGATTAGCCCGCAGACCCCACCTGTCACCGCTTGTGTGGCCAGCCCGCCCTCATCCCTCCTCGGGGGTGGCCCTCTGAGCAGCTGTCTCTGCTCCCCGCCTCTCGGCCCTTGAGCTCCAGGGAACTTTTCTTCTGTGAAGCACAGGAGGCTGCTAGCGTCTGGATCCTCCCTGGGGAGCTCCGTTTCCGCAGCCTGGGAACAGCCCAGGTCTGCAGAGAGGGCCCGGTTGACCACGGCCCCTGTGGGCCACATGGCTGTGCTCCAAGACACAAGGGGCTGGTGGTCCGGGGTCCTCGGGTGGACGCACTGGGGCCGAGGGATCTGGTGAGTGTCCGGCTGCCCCTGGCAGCTTTGTCTCGGGGCCGAGGAGAAGCCCTGGCAGGCGTGGCCTCTGTACTCGGCCCTCCCCATGGACGCACAATGTCCACTCAAGGTCCTCTTTTCTTTTCGCTTCCTTCTCCGGTGAGCCTGCGTCCCCCGCCCTGCTTCCCGCACCCTTTCCTGTCCCCTTGCGGCGGGGGCCTCCCGCTGACCCCGCTCTGTCTTCACCCCAGGATGAAGCCAACACACACCCTCGTCAACTGCTGGTTCTGCAACCAGGACACGGTCGTGCCCTACGGGAACCGCAACTGCTGGGACTGCCCGCACTGTGAGCAGTACAACGGCTTCCAGGAGGTGCGCGGCCCCGTCCTGCCTGCTGTCCCAGTACCGTAGGCCAGGCCCTCACCCCGGCCCTCACCCCAGCTTGGTGGGGGAGGCAACAGGCCCCTTGGGGACTGAGGCATGTGGCTTCCCAAGTCCTGAGATTGGCAGATTGTGGTCCCGTGCCAGGTCTCTGCTCTGCTCTGGCGGTGGCCACAGGCTTTCTGCTCAGGCCAGAGGAGGGCATCTTGGGCTTTACAGGCCGTGAGTCTCTATCATGCCTGTCAGCCCCACGCCCGTGACAATATGTGTGTGAGTGTGCATGGCCAGGCCCAGGAACCTGGCAGCCCTGCCCCAGGCCGGGATGTACAGGCCTGGTGCCCTGGCCCGGTGGTTCTGGGGCCCAACTCCAGAAGCTGGTGGGGGGGGCACGTGAGGCAGGGTCCGGGGTGCTCTCAGCTTCTTGTCTGTCAGTGGTCCACGTGAGATTTCTTTGGGAGAAAGAATGGGGGCGTTCAGATTCATCCCCACTTCCTGGAGTGGGATGGGGTCAGCAGGGGAGGTTCTCACCCACTGGGATAGGGCTCCCCACTGACACGCCTCCCCCACAGAATGGCGACTACAATAAGCCGATCCCCGCCCAGTACTTGGAGCACCTGAACCATGTCGTGAGCAGCACGCCCGGCCCCAGCGCCCCTGCGCAGCCGCAACAATGGGTGAGCAGCCAGGTGCTGCTGTGTCGCCGCTGCAGCCACCACCAGACCACCAAGATCAAGCAGCTGGCCGCCTTCACGCCGCGTGATGAGGTGAGGGCTGGGGTTCAGGCATGTACCCCCAACCCTGCAGTGGCTTTTCAGTCCTGAGCACCGGAGGACACCTCCAGCCCGACCCCACATTGCCCACATTCAGGGCATCCCCCCGTCTCGTGATCTTACTATCTCAGTTCCAAGCCTGGAACGTCGTGAAAAGCCCAGAGGGGTCCATAGGCAGGTGAGTAGGGCTCCCAAGTTCCAGCTGGGGGCCTGTTGGACCCTGCCACTGTCCCTCAGAGTCAGCCTTGCCCGCTGGCTGGCCCGGCGGCTTGCTCTCTGGCTTGGCGAGGAGGCTTCTGGCCACTGAGAGGTCTGACTTCAGCCGCCACCTCCTGGGCCCTCCTCGGAGCTGGGAGCCTCGTGGTCTCACTAGGCCAGGTTTCCTGACCTCCGGAGGTGGTCCCAGCCGAGACCCAGGGGTGCTGGCTTTCCCAAGGTCCAGGCTGGGAAGAGGGAAAGACGGGGAATATGCGGAGAGAAGACTAAACAACTGGGGCGGCTTTTCTGGTGCATTTGGCCCCAATAAGAGAACATGGAGGTGATAACCCTCAGGCCTCTGCTGGCTGCAGTGCTTGCTGGGAAGGAAAGGGAAAGAGGCATTGCTGCCTCTGGCTTGAGCTTCTAGACTGTTTCTAAAGCCCAAAGGACCTTTCAGCTCGCTCTAAGTCTCAGCCTGGGCCCTCTAGGAATTTTTAGGCCCCTGGACTTATGGGAGGGGCAGGCCCAGACTAGGTACATCAGCTCAGAGCCACCCTGTCAGGTGGGTCACCCTCTCCTGGAGTTCTTGAGGCCCAGGGCCTGAGTGTGTCCTGTCAGCTGTGGGCCCTGCGTTTCCCAGGCTTGGGCAGCCCTGACCTGGCAGCCCACACCCTGTGCTCAGCGGCCATTTGTCCTGTCAGGCAGGGAATGATGCAGGCTCAGAGTGGGGATCACCTGCCATGGTCTCCCTGCCTGTCAGTGGTCTTGGGGCTGCCACGGTTGCTGCCCCAGGACCCTGAGCCACTGCCCTTGCTCTACAGGGCAGGTACGACGAGGAGGTCGAGGTATACCGGCACCACCTGGAGCAGATGTACAAGCTGTGCCGGCCGTGCCAGGCGGCCGTCGAGTACTACATCAAGCACCAGAACCGCCAGCTGCGCGCCCTGCTGCTCAGCCACCAGTTCAAGCGCCGGGAGGCGGACCAGACCCACGTGCAGGTGTGAGGGGGGTCCGTGGGGCACCAGGTGACCACTACCCTCGAGTGTGTGCAGGAAGCCCCTATATGGGGATGGAGGGCAGCTCTCCAGAGTTGAGACGCTTTCCGGTACCACAGCCACGCTCCCACCTTGCCCCGGGGCCCCAAGGCCCCAGGAGAGTATCCTCAAATACCCGGCCTCCAGCCCGTTGGGGATCTGCACTGCCTGTGTGTCGGGCGCTTTCCTGACCCCCTGTTGCTTGAGGGGCCCTCCGTGGCGGGTCCAGTCAGGGCCCCCAGGTGACCTGGCGTGGTTGTCTGGCTGGGGCCTTCTGCCTAAAGCCACCGTTAGTTTTGTTTTTGGTTTTTTTTTTAAGATTTATTTATTTATACAAGCACTGGGTACAGCCAGAAGCGCGGGAGGGTGAGTGAATTCACCAGAGCCAGAGCGGGGAACAGAACAGGCAGACTGACGAAATACACTGCTGAGGGGAGCAGCAGGCACGGCAGGAGAGGTCTGTCGCTCCATGTGGGACCCTCACCGGGGGCCGGGGATCGAACCGGTGCTGCAGAGGCTGCGGGCAGCTTCGCAGCCCAGCGTCATCCGCTGCGCCACCGGGGGAGGCCCGCCACTGTTAGTTTTTATCACTGTAGTCACTGAAATCTCCTGGCTGAAAATATCTGAGAGGCAAATGGATTTAAACATGAGCGTCTCCCCCCAGGGAAGTCCCCCGCCATCCCCACGGGACTCCTGCTTCGAGTTTCCCATCTACAGCCCCCCTCCTCCCCCATAGCCCCCCCCCCCCCACTTTGCCCCTCACCACCGCCTCCTAAGACCAGCTTCTTATGTAAATACGTAAACCTGTGTATTTACACAGTTCCGTAAGAATCACAAAGGAAACTTTACGTGAAAAACTTGACAAAACAAAAATTTGACTTCAAGTGTGAGGCCGTGTAACATGGAAAGGATTTCACCTGGCGATGCGGCGGGAGGGCCGCTCCCTGCCCGCGTGGGGCTGGCGGGGTGAGGGCCCTGCCAGGAGAGGGGCTGTGGACTCTGCAGAGAGCCTGGACCTGCCAAGGAGACAGGAGCCGTGCGCGCTGGGGGCGGAGGTGGGGGAGGCCTGCCCAGAGTAGGCGCCAGGAGCGGCCGTCAGCGGCTCTGTCCACCTCGCTGACCAGTCTCTTCCCCCCTCAGAGCTTCTGCTCGTCGGCAGTGAAGTCTCCGGTCCAGGTCATCGTGCTCCGGGCCCTCGCCTTCCTGGCCTGCGCCTTCCTGCTGGCTACCACGCTGTATGGTGCCAGCAACCCCTTCACCCCGGGCGCAGCCACCCTGCCCCCAGACCTGCCCCCCAGGAGTAACGACTCCACTGCTTCCGACAACACCACCAGCCCAGGGACTGAGGGCTGGCGGCAGCTGCTGGGCCTGCTGCCCGAACACGCCGCCGAGAAGCTGCGCATGGCCTGGGCCTTTGGGCAGAGCCACCAGACAGGCCTCGTGGCGCTGGGCCTGCTCACCTGCCTGCTGGCCATGCTGCTGGCCGGTCGCCTCAGGTGCGTGCGGGGTGGGCAGCTCGGCGGGCGTGGGCCCTGGGCTCCTGATCCTGCTTCTCAGGAGTCGGCGGGGAGAGGAAAGCAGATGACCTGACTGGAGGCGCAGAAGCAGCAGCCAACCCGCCGCTGACCCTGCTGCGTCTGGGCCCAGGTCACCTCTGTCCCCTGCCAAGTCCTTCCCTGAGCCTCGTAGACCCCACCCGAGTGGTGTCCCCCTTGCCTCTCAGTGACCCTGCAGGGGACCCTCAGCCCCACCGTACAGGCAGGACGCGAGGCTGGACTTGCCCTCGGTCGGCTCGGGGTGGCTGGAGGAGACGGAAAGTGGAAGAGGGTGGGGGGGCTGGTCCAACTCACGGGCCTTATGCACCCCGCTCTCCCCACAGGCTCCGGAGGATCGACGCCTTCTCCACCGGCCTGTGGGCCCTGCTGCTGGGGCTGCACCTGGCTGAGCAGTACCTGCAGGCTGCCTCACCCAGCTGGCTGGACACGCTCAAGTTCAGCATCACGTCCCTGTGCTGCCTGGTGGGCTTCACGGCAGCCGTGGCCACGAGGAAGGCGACGGGCCCGAGGAGGTTCCGGCCCCGAAGGTCAGAGTAGCAGCAGTGACTGTGGGGGGAGGACAGGTGGACAGACAGGCCCAAGCTTTGCCCCCAAGCAGAACCCTTTCTCTCTGCGTCTTTCCTAACCTGCTTCACACCCACCCAACCTAGAACCCTGGTCCTGGTCCAGCCCTTCTCTTTCCCCAAGGAGTCAGGCCTGCCCCGCCCCTTCCTTTCTAGACCCCACACGAGCCCCTGATCTGGCCGCTCCCGTTGCCACCAGCCAGCTGGCCAAAGACCCCTTCACGGCCTAGGAGCCCCTGCACAGGTGGCTCCCCGCTGCCTGCTTCCAGCCTGTGGCTTCCCGCGGCAGCTCCAGGCACCCCACCCTGGCCCCAACCTTCTCCTCTGACGCCGCTGGGTGAGGGTCCCGCCTGTGGTCTGCTTCCCTCACCTGGCGCACCTCTGATTCCTGGCACAGGGACTAGTGTCAATGGCCTCAGACTGGGCCTGACCCCTGGGGCTGCTTGGCGTGAGCTGTCGCGGGTGAGCAGGGCCAGGGCGCACCCCTCACTGTGTCCCTACACCACCTCTCTGCTCTCTTTGGTCCTGCTCTTGGCTGGGCTGTCCCTACCCAGGCCGGTGGACCCAGAAGGAGGCAGCGTGTCCCCTCGGGGCCACTGCTCTGATGAGCCCCTGTTACTCCTCCCCCCAGGAATTGGGCACAGGCTGGCCTTGATCCTGAGTCTGTGGGCAAAGATCCTCCCCCGGTGGAAAGGAGAAAACGCGCTCCTCCCGGGGTCAGCAAGGTCTTTACGAGCTAGGCTGTGGGTTTCACCCCGGTGGTGGCAGGGGGAGTTTCTGAATAGTGTTTCCTTTATTCATCTATTTTGGGGGTACTGTGGCCAGACAACGTGGGCAGGCCTGCACTGCTGCTCTCCTGTGAGGCCCCTGGCTCCCCATTGAAGAAGCACGACCACCTCCTGTGCCTGGTCCTCCACTGGTCCTGCAGGACTGGGGCTCCTGCTTCTTGGACGGCACTGCCTTTGCTGGCGTTGCACCCCCTCCACGCCTGGGATGTCCCCAGTTTCCTATTCTTGCCTCCCCCAACCCCACAATGCTTGGGAGAGGCTCCGATTGCCCAAGGGTAGTGTAGGGTCCGGCCCAAGGCGCACACAGGTCCAGAATGACCTCAGGTTATTTGTCACTTTGTCCCTCTCTGGTCAGTCCTGTCACTGCTCTGCCCCCAGCATCCCCCCATGGGGGGTGTGGAGACTCCTGCCTCCCACTCCTGTCTCCCACAGCCCCAGAGCCCTTGGGCCCAGCCTTGTTCTCCCGAGTCAGTGGGGCCTCAGCTTTGCAGCCACCTCCCATGACTGCCACTGGGGCAGAGCTGGTGTGGCTGGTGTGGCCACGTCCTGGCACACACAGGCTGCTCACCAGCTGCGAGGTCCCACCCAGGCCCTGCTGTTCCCAGCCTCAGTTTACCCATGTGGGATGACTGGTGGTCCCTCCCAGGCCTCAGGTGCTGCCCTGAGGTGCTGTTCACAGGCAGAGGAAGTTCTCAGCCTGGGGGTCACTCCAGGCCCATAGCAGGAGAGTGACTGGGGTGTCCCCTCCCTGGCATTTTCTACCCCTGGAGTGTGAGTGTGCCTCACACTTCTCCTCACAGGCCCCATGTCCTGCTCTTATCACTGAGCAGCCGTGTCCCCCCTCCACACCTGGAGCCCAGGGGAGCAGGTGTCTGAGGAGGTCTTGCTCGGCAGGGGCCCCGCAAACAGGCAGGGAGCAGGTGGGGGTGCCCCACAGGTCGGGTCACCCCCCCTCAAAGTGTTTTGGCTCAGGAGCCAGACTAGCTACATGGCCACAAACCAGCCCCCCTCGCTGGGCTCGTCCTGTCCCACAGAGCGGGGTGCTGGGCCGGGAGGCAGGCCCGCAGCCCTCTCTTGGCCCAGCCTGCAGGGCTGGGGGGAGGCGGCACCCAGCCCTTGAGCCCTGAGTCTCCTTTTCTCAAAACTGACAGCGTGATGCTAATTACCTCTCGGCATCGAGCAGCAGGACATCTGTGTGTGTGTGTGCGTGTGTGTGTAAGTTAAATTATTTATAATAAGCGGAACCAGCTCTCCTGGCCAGGAGTCCCTGCCCAGCAGAGCTATCCCGGCCTCTGGTGGGTTGGGAAGACACCCCCCCAAGATGAGCCTGGTCAGGGGGACGCTCCCCGCCTTTTTAGAGTCTCATGACTTTTTAAATTGCCCGCTGGTCCCTTAAAGTTTTGTTACTTGGAGCCCATTCCAGCACCTGCTGACGTCACGGCCCTCGCCAGGACCGCCACCCCCTAGGGCTGGGAAAACTTGAGCCCTCGGGTGGAGGGACCGCCCCGACAGGGAGGTGCACTCCGGGTGTCCCCGTGCTCTGGGCCACACCAGGCCAAGCAGGCGCCTCCAGTAACGTGCCCGGAGCAAGCCGCCCCAACGCCTGCCCGCCCGGAGGAGCCGCGTCCTCAGGCTGGCCGAGCGTCTCCGCCCCGGCCGTGTGGTAGAACGTGGACAACTGTCTAGCCCGTCTCGCTGTCGCCACACCTGCCGTAGACGGCGTGGTTTCCATTCTGTATTTTCAATAAATGCCCCCGGGCCCTGCTCTTGCCGGTGGGCGCCAGGTACCGAGTCTTTTTTGGTTTTTCTTTCACGTTCCTTCAGAGGCTTCTGGGCTGGGCTGGGCTGGGCTGGGGGGGCGCCCCAGGAGTCAGGCCGGGAGCTGGAACTGCCCGGCACCCCTCACCCACTGTGCCGGGTCTCAATAAAGCGTCCATCTCTCCAGTGGGGCATCGCACAGCCCCTCCACCCCGGAGCCCGAGTCCCACAGTGGCCTCCTCACTAGCGTGGGGGCCGATCTCCAGCCCAGGCGGTTTGAGGGTGCCCAGCCATCAGTGGGCGGGGGGCTCACCAAAGGAAGCTCTGTGGGGCTGGGCAGTGATTGCTCCTTTCACAGGAGAGACGCCCGCACGGGACTGTCTTCTGCAGGGCCGCCGGGGGGAGCAGTCCTGGGAAGATGCAGCTTCTCCTTCTGGAGCTGACCAGCTCAGCCTCGGCCCAGCTGACTGCCCAGAACCCGCACTGCAGGGCCCCTCTCCTCTCGCCCCTTTTGGGGGTGGCCTGTGGCAGGGCACAGGGAGTCCAGTGAGGGTCCTGCGGCCCATGCCTGCTCCTGTGGCAGCTGCTCATGATGGCGGGGGTGCGGGCCCAGCCCAGATGGCTCCCCGCAGGGTCAGCCAGTTGCACAGAGCACCAAGTGCCCCCCCACCGCTGCGGTGCCTAAAGTGCCCCCACCTCAGGCCATCCCCCTGGCCCAGACCCTGTCCTGTGGAGCGGGGCCCAACCCTGTGATGACACGCTCACATTTTCTGTCTAGAGGGGAGCCCTCCCAGATGTGTTGGGTCAAGGGGGAGGTGGTGTCTGGCATGGGCAGGACAGGTGGGCACTAGGCCAGGCCCTCCCGCAGTTTGTCTTGGCGAGCTGCCTTGATTTCCCCATGTTCCCCAAACACTGGGCCCGGCCTGCCGTTCCGGCACCCAGTTCTGTGGAAGTCTTGAAAGGTGACACGATTCTCCAGGAAGGGAACAGCTGACCCCATGCTTTCCTCATAAAACTCGTTTTAAGCGAAGGGGGAGGTGTCGCTGGCCAGCAGTCCCCGGCGTGGGCGGTGCGTGACGGGCACGGGTCCTGCGCCCCCTCCCCCGGCTCTGCTGCAGGGCCCAAGCCAGCCTGCCCGTCGCCTGCGCGTCCACGGGCACTTTGTCCCTGGGGACCGAGGTAAGGCTGGGCCCGTGGCCCCGTCAGAGGGCGACTAATGTATTAACCGCCTCTGCCCCTCCTGTAATTGGTTGCCTTAATCCGAAGCATGGTTGACGTTCTGGCTTGGGGCCCCTGGGGCCTGTGGCGAGACCTGTGCCAATCTCGAGTTAAAGAGACACTGTCACCTTCAGTCTTTTGGGCAGCCTTGCAGTCGTTGGGTGTGCCTGGAGAGCTTCTTCCTGGGGACCCCGGATGTGTTGGGACCCCCACAGTGGCCCCGCCACCCTCCCCCCACTCTACAAGGCCCTTGCGAGGAGTGTCCAGTGTCCACAGGAGAGCGGCCATGAGACTCTCAGAGTCAGGCCCTGGGGAGCAGGGCCTCCCCAGCTTGGCCAGCTGTTGGGAGGCCAGCCAAGGCCGTTCGCTGTCAGTGCCCGCCCGGCGCGGGCTGGCATTGTGCTTCAAGGTGGCGCAGGGTTGGCGTGAGGTCGGCGAGGGCGACAGTGTCACTTTATCCCGGGACTCCTAGTGGACCTAGTTTGCCGTGAGCCTGAAGGGTCAGAATGGGCACGTGGGGAGGGGCGGGTCACGCCGACACCTCCCAGCCACCTGCTCCTAATGGCGTGAATGTGATGAAACGGCTTTTCTGCTTCAACTAACACACGCCCCCTCTGGGACCCCAACTCGGGCACCGTGGCGGGGACCTCTGGGCACAGCTCCGCAGAGCCCAGGCTTACCCTCTCCCCCATGCTGCGGATCTTGCAGGTGCTTCCCCGGAGACTCCACCGGCCTTTTCCCCATCGGCCCCAGCCTGGCCAGCCCCTGCCCGAATGTCCCTGGCTCCTCGCCGCCTCTGTTCGTCCCCACCCCGCCCGGCTTCCTGCCATTCGCCAACCCGCAGCTGTTCCGGTCTCCCCGCCGGGCCTCGCCTTCCTCGCTGCCAGGCCGCCTCAGCCGGGCCCTCTCGCTGGGCACCATGCCCTCTCTCACTCGTGCAGGTAAGAGGCACTGGGCCCCAGGACTAAGCACAGGGGGGGCTGGCGGGCGAGGGGTGAGCGCTCCCGCGGTGGAGACGGCAGGGCCAGGTCCAAGTCCTGCTCTGGGCCGGAGAGCAGCATTTGAGCTGGTGGTGGTGGAGGGTTTGAGGCCTTCAGTATGATCGAAAATGTGGTTGTCCCAAGACTCCAGAAGCTTCCGTGCAACCAGGCATGAACTGTGGTAGGGAGTGGGGGAACGGGACAGCTGCTCCTGCCCTCCTGGAGCTCCTGGCAGATGAGTGGCAGCTGAGGCCTGACCCCCGGCCCTGGGTGCAGACGGGCCTTCTCCTGGCTCTTCAGTAGCAGCAGCTAGAGCAGAGGGACCCTGGAGGGCCCAGCAGCTTGAACCTTCCCCCAAAAGGGAGGCTGGAGCTCCAGGCCTTCAGTGTGGGGGTGGGGCACCTCTAGGATCTTTGCAGAGATGGGGGGGCCTGGTACAAGACTGCAGGGGGAGGGCTGCTTTTTTCTTTGTTCTTTAAGAAATGAAATGAAGTGGTTAATTAATTATCCTGCAAGGCAGAGACTTGACCTCCCAGGGGAGCCCTCCCTCCCTCCTGTTCCCTGCAAGGCAGGTGCAGGATTGCAAACCCCAGTGCCCAAGCCCCTCCTCCTGGAGGAGTCCTGGCTGGGCTGACTGAGCTGACCGGGAAGCGGAGACCTCAGTCTTTGCTCAGCTGTAAGCGGGGCTGGTGACGCTCTTCATGGGGTGTTGTGAGAACCATATTCAGGGGACTGAAGTGCCAGAACCTCTGGTCAGCTGGGAGCAGCCAAGTGGACCCCAGCCCTGGTCCTGGGGTACACTCTGGTGCCCTCACCCTCTCTGCTGGGGGAGCCTTGGACCATCCGCAGTGGGGCCTGCATACATGGCCACTGTTCCTGTTATGGGATGGGAGGTGCCTGCAACACCCCAGACTCCTGCCAGGGGTTAAAGGGCAGGTCACTCCACTGGCCCCCAGAGCTGATGGTTTGCCCACAGCAGAGCTGTCTTCCACCTTCTGTGTCGATGCCCTGGGCACCGACACTCCAAAGGACTGTGCACACTGACCGGTGATGGCCGAGTGAGGGGCCTTTTGTCTTAAGGGCCTTGGGAGCAGCCCGGGCTGTGGGGCAGGGCCTCCCACCCACGCGGCCTGCACGCCCTCAGGACAGTGCTGCTGTGGGCTCGGGCTGGCCCCACAGTGGGGTGGGATTGCAGAGCCTCCCCTGCGGTCCCTTGGCCTGGGGTTTAGCAGGCCCAGGTGCTGTGCCAGGCTCCAACTCCATGTGCTCTCCACCCCGCCCCACCTTCCACCCCGCCGCAGGCCTGTCCTGCCTCCCTGCAGCTCCCACCCAGCCCGCAGACACGTTCTTGGAAGCACCCCTGCTGTACATGGGCCCTGTGGCCACCCCGACCCAGCCGTGTGGCCCCGGGTCTGTCTCAGCCTGGCTGGGGGAGGTGTGGTGTGCCCTCCGAGCCCTTCCCAGTGGAGCAGCCACCTCACAGGACATGTGCCGCCCCCACCGGCGTGGCCCTGGGCCTCTGGGGGACAGGACATGTGAGGCGGAGTCCCGGCCCTGGGTGCACTTGCTTTGGGAAAAGCAGCGTGTCAGCGCTCCTTGCAGCCCTGCCAGCTAGTCCGCCACTGGGGTTGGGGGTGGCGGGGACCACAACGGAACAAGTGCCAGCGTCTCGCGTGTGCCTGCTGTGGGGCGCGGTGTCAGTCTGCAGGTGGGACTGTGCCCCCGAGCAACCCAGGTAGTAGTTTGGGGAGTCACTTGAAAACCTGTGTTCCCTGAAAGCAAAGGTTGGGTTTCAGCCATGGGGTTGGGAGTTGGGGGCACAGAGGGGAACCGTCTTCCTGCCAGGCTGACACCTTGCATCCCCTCTTCTCCAGACTCAGGGTATCTGTTCAGTGGGAGCCGCCCCCCGTCCCGGGTGTCTCGATCTGGGGAGGTTCTTGTTTCAGGTAAGGAGCCGGCAGGGCGGGGAGTGGGGGTGGGTGGGCTTCCAGAACCTCGGGGGATCACTGCAGAGTGGTCGGGGTCATCTTCCGGGTGCGCTGGTTCTAAGTTCAAGTCCCAGCCTTGGGCCCGTAGCAGGCACCCCTGCGTCTCAGCTGCTCTGCTAGGAAGTGGGCACAGGGGCCACCAGGATGCAGTGGTGGGGCACCAGGTCCCTCCCTGGCAGAGACCTCGGGCTCCTGCCATCTCGAGGCTGGGGTCAGCTGACCTTTAGCTGCAAGGATTTGTTCTTGGGGCTGGCTCTTGGCTGAGGGAACCTGCAGGGACTGGGGGAGAAGTCAGGGCCGAGGGGACGTGGCTGAGGCTCATGATCTTCTCCTGTCCTCGGGGTGGGGGGGGTGGGGGGTGCAAGCCCCTCCTTGGTTCCCACGGGAACTCCCTGCACCCCCCGCGCCGCCCTCCCTCCTTGCTGGTGGATAGAGGAGCAGCGCTGTCAGCGTCGCAGTCTCGATGGCAGACATCCCGCGGTTATACTCCTGACTGTCGGGGTCTCCTGTCCCTCTCACCCTCCAGATTACTTCTCTCTGCTAGCGGGGAGCTGCCCCGCCTCCCCGCTCCCATCCCCGGCGCCCTCCGTGGCTGGCTCGGTGGCCTCCAGCTCCGGCTCCCTGCGCCACCGGCGGCCCCTCATCAGCCCTGCACGGCTCAACCTGCAGGGGCAGAAGCTGCTGCTCTTCCCGGCATCGCCCGTCGAGCCCCCCAACACCCCCAGCAGCTCAGACGAACACTCGCCCCACAGCGGCAGCCTCTTCACCATCGAGCCGCCCCAGGACGTGAAGCGTGCCGTGGGTAGGTTCTCCCGGATGTGGGGCCCGGCAGGCCTGCAGGACCACCTTGGCGGCCTCTCTGTGGCCACCCGGCCTGGCTGCTGGTGACCGTGAACCCTGGGACAGGCCTCTGTTGGCGTTTCATCTCCTGCAGCTGACCTCCCCGCCAGCTCACACAATGGTGGGCTCCAAAGCGTTGTTTCACTTTTAAATTGGGCCCCAGCCTGTAAGATCTAGAACTTCTATGAAACCTGGACTTCTGTGTCCCCCAATAACAGAGGATGTGCCACGTGGGGTGCGGTTCCAGCCCAGCCCCACACTGGTGTCAGCCAGCTCCCATCGCACAGCTCCGCGCCCCGGGGATGGGCAGGGCTGGCTGGCTACATCCCGGGGGTGGAGGGGCGCCCCGTGTCCGCCCTGGGGGCACGCCGCGAGCACACGCTGGGGGGTTTCTCTCCGCAGACACGAGGTCCGTGCCGGAGCGAGGCAGCGCCTGCAGCACCCGCTCCATCAAGAGGGAGGATGACTCTTCCCGGTCCTCCACCTGCGCGGTGGACACCACCACCAGAGGCTGCGCGGAGGAGGCCAGCGCCTGGAGAGGTTGGCACCCCGTGGTGGGGGGACAGCGGGCATCCGCAGCCACCGCCACCCCTGGGTGGGTGCACAGCACCCAGCTCTGAGCTGCAGCGTCTGCTGCCTTGGCCGCGTGTCAGGAGGCTCTGGTACAGGATGCCTGCCCCGTCGCGGAGGGGTCCCGGGCGCTACGGCCTGTGCTCAGGGCCCGTGCTGGGGTCTGCCCTGGGTCCTGGGTTCAAATCCCAGCTCCTCCTCTCCTGTGCAGCTGTTCTGGGTGTGAGATGGGATCCTGGTTCTGTGTAAAGTCCCGCTGGTCCTGAGCATCGGTGGGCAGCACCCGGCAGGGGGAGGGTCGGGGCGTGTGTGTGTGTTTGTGTGTGTGTGTGTGTGTGTGGATGACAAGGAGGCGACCAGCGTACTGACCGTTCTGAGCTGAGTCAGAGCGAGCGCTGCCCCCAGTCAGGTGGGGCCTGTGGGCAACCAAAGTGCCGTCACAGCCCCCACCGTCAGGCTCAAGCGCGTGGCATCCTAGCCCAGTGCCTGAGGTGGCATGGGCTCAGGGAGGGTGATCAGTGCGGGGCATGGAGGACGGCAGCTGCTGCCCCCCGCAGGTCCCTCTGACCTCTGACCGGCTCTCTCAGGTCGTTTTCAGCCCTCCCTGGTCCGAGGCCTCCTGGCCGTGAGCCTGGCTGCCAACGCGCTCTTCACTTCGGCCTACCTGTACCAGAGTCTGCGCTGACCAGCTCCAGCGCCCCGAGAGTCGGGGGGGCGCGCCCAGGTGCATGCTGCTTCTACCACTGCCGCCTCAGAGCCCTCGAGGCCCTCGTCCTTGCCGGATCGAGTCCAGTTCTCAGGCCGTCTCCTCCTCACCTGCGGACTGCGGGCTGGGGCCACACTCCGCCCACCATCTCCTGCGCTGACGTGGGTTGTGTGTTTGGTGCTGACACTGATCCTGAAGCCAGGGGTCTCCCAGGGGCTGCATGGCCCTGGGGTGCCATCCCTGCCCCCATGCCTTGGGCTATGCCCACATCTTCGTACTGTACTGCTCTGTCCATTGGGGCTACCCAGAGCCCCCGAGCCGAGGTGGGGTGCAGTCCCTGTGTCTCCCGGTCTTGACCCTGCCCTTGGGAGAATAACCCTTTCACGGGCCTGTGGGCTGGTGGGTGCCCAGGGCTCCTCGGAGTGCCTGGGTCTCAGGGGCCCACTTGGACCTTTGGGACCCGTGTAAGCATCTGCCTTCCTGCCTGCATGCACCCATTTTCCTGCCTTCCTAGGCAGTACCCCGTTACCCTGCGAACACTTGCCAGGGCCCCCCCAGTTCCAGGCCCACGCTTCCTGGCCCCTCCATCACACTCTGCCCACAGGGGCCTTGCTGACCCTCGCCCACCTTGTGCTGTCGATGACCAGCGGGTGGGGGGCAGGCAGCCTGCAGGTCTCTGAGGAGCCTGGCTCCCCACCCCTGCCCCACCATGCACCGAGCCCCTTTCACCCACGAAAACCCCACTTCCTCCCTTGCGTTCTCACATCAGGTAGGCCCAGCACAGCCTGCGTCCACAGCCACCCGTCTGGCTGTCCCCACCCGGCTCCCCCTGCACCACCTGCCTGACGTGCACAAGCTCCCCCTCTGCCCGCCCTGGGGCTGGGGTGCCTCCTGCCCCCCGAGAGGAGAAGGGGGACCTCAGTCTGCACAGGAGCCTCCCATGCTGTGCACGCCAGAACCCTGGCGCTGTCCTGGTCGGCACGCAGGCAGGGAAGTGTGCGTGTGTGCGTGCGTGCGTGCGTGTGTGCGTGTGTCTCTGTGTTGGTGCCGCCGTGGGAGGTGAATTCTGAGGTGTGTCGGGGGAGGGTCACAAGGGCAGGCAAGGTCTTCACTCTGTCATTCAGGGATAAAGTTTAATTTTATTTTTCTACACATTTTTGCAGGTCAGGCATTTTGCTAAACAGCAGGATGCCCCCCGATCTCCCTGCCAGGGAGGTTTAGTTTTTTTAAGCTTTGGGTGCTTTTTTAGTAATTTTTTTTACCATGGGGGGCCCCCCCTCCGCTCTGACTGCCCCTCCCTCCTCTTCACTCCTGTCCTAAGAGCTACTGTTTCCTGCCCCGCCCGCCCCGACCTTGGGGGACCGGGGCTCCAGGGGCCACACCAGGACTCTGCGTCCAAATGCCAGAGACGGTTCCAGCTCGGGGACCACGCCTCTCAGCCCCCCTTTTGTCTAGTGGACGCGTGCGTCGAGATTTTTAATTTTATTTTTGCCTGACAAATCCAAGCTCTGGTCCCCAGACGCCCTCCCTGGCCCCGGCACGTGCCCGCGCTGGGCGGGCCTGGCCTCTCCCACCCAGGACCAGCACCCCAGCACCCCTGGGGCAGGGGGCGGAGGGAGGTTACTTATGTTCTCCCTCAAACAAAAACAAAAAAAACCTTATTTTTCTTTACAAAAGCAAAAAAGGAAAGAAAGTACCAACCTTTGAACTACACCTCCGCTGTCTTGTCTTCCTTTCCTGCGCTCGGGCAGCGCGGGCCTGAGGGGCCCTCACGGGTGGAGTGGACGCTGCATGGCCTTCGCGTGGCTTCTCTGTGGGCTGTGGGGGGGCTGGGGCTCAGAGCGAGCGGTGGTGGCGGGTGCAGGGCAGGGACGGAGGCTTGGGCAGCCTGGGCGGGGTGTGGGCGGCCTGTGAGCAGAGCAAGGAGGGTGTGGTGGGGGCAGGAGGCGCGTGGGGGCAGGTGTCGGTCGGGCTGTCTCTTCAGAAAGCGGCATTATTTGTGGCAGCTGAGGTCCCGCGAAAGGCCTGGCTCTAGAAGGTGTGGCCCTCAGCGTGGCAGGAACTGGAGGGGATGGCGGGAAGTGAAGTCAGAACAACAAATACTGGGCGAATTCACACGTGGAGAAGTTTAGTGAACGCTGACAACCAACCGGTTACCAGAGGGTGGGGGTGAGAAGGAGCAGAGGGGGTGCAAGCGATGGTGGGGGGTGCTTGCTTTTCTCACCTCAAAGAAAAGCCTGTCCCTGCAGCGGCCCCAAGCTGGCTCCAGCCCCATCCAGCCGAGGAGGCCTGGCCCCAGGGGCGCCGGGGAAGCCCTGGGAGGAGAGGCGCTGGCCCCCGGCTGCACAAGGGCCTCATGGCACCAGCTCCAATAAATGTGAGTGCCCCTGTGCCAGCACCTGCGAGAGGATGGGCGGGGGGTGGTGGCCCCGACTCGGGGCAAGGGACCCAAGGGAGTCGCACCCCATGAGTCTCTCCCGAAGATCCCATGAGGTGCGTGCCCAGGTGCGCTCGCGGCATCCTGTGGGTGAAGAACCTGCAAGTCCACAGAAGCCCCTGGGAGGCCTGACCCAGGACGCGCAGCCTGCCCCGCAGACCCTGGAAGGCCCCACCCACTGCCTCAGCAGGGATTTCCTTCCCCGGTGGGCCTGCACGATCTTTCTGACGGCACCTCTGTTGTCTCCGTATGAAAGGGAGAGGGGTGTTGCAGAAAACCTAGAAGCCCAAATGAGCAAAAGAAAATGCCCGAAATCCCACAACTCTATGCAGGACCTGCTGTCCTTCCTGAAGTGTTGACATCTGCGACGTAACGCACGTGGCGCACATCGCACCTTCCACTTCTCCTCACCCGTGCGCATCTCCCCGGTGAGTGTGTGCCCCCCCACGCCAGCCGCCTTCCTGTGTGCATGTCCAGGCCTTGCCTCCCCTGGCGGCGCTGAGGCCCGGGGGTCCCCTGCTGCTGTATTTGGGGCAACAGTAAACACCTGTGTGTGATTATGTCAGGCTTTTGTTAGGGTGACGTTGGGTAAATCAGACTCTGGAAGGTTCGTCAAGATTCCAAAGGTTTTTACATGCGCTGCCTGACTATATTCTAGAAAGTGGTCTAGTGGTTTTATTTTTTAAACTCCTGAACCGACTTGCCGGGTGAGCAGACAGCTTCGCTGGCACAGGGGGATGGTGGTCTGAAGATTGGGGTCCTCCGGTGACGGCCGCAAAGGGACGGTTTTCAGCCTGGACTTGAGAGAGGAATCAGGGAGGGAGAAGAGGTCGGCGGGTGCCCACCACCCCATATCAGCAGAGGAGCTGTTTTCCTGTGCTGCGCTCCACCTGCCTTTAAGTCAGAGGAAGGTTGGGGCCTCGCCAAGCTGGGCAGCCCAGAGAGCAAGGGCTGCGCATTCTGATGACCTCTAGGCCTGTCAGAGGTGATCAGAGGGGGGCTGGTCCCCTACTTAGGGGATACAAGGCATTTGGAGTGGCTCACCCTGTAAAGGCTTTTTGTGGTAGCAACTCCTGACATTTTGCTACCGGGTGTAGAGGTGGGGAAATCTGTCCTCAGCCCCTAAAGAGCCGGGGTGCAGCCAGCTGGGCTTTGGGGTCAGTGTGGGGTTGTATGCAGCCCCATTTACTCGGTAAGAGTGAGCTGGCTCGCAGCGAAAGCAGGAGGGGCCAGGACACCACAGCACCTTCCCTCCATCACCAGCCAGATCTGCTTGTAAATTGCTGATTATGGGGCACCTAGTGCAGGCCCATCTAGGCAAGGCTTCAGTGGGGAACAAAGCAGAGGTGCCCTTGCTCCGCCTGCCAGCCAAGGGCAGCGTGGCAGCTCGATGAGCACCCCAGTCGTGACAGGCTTCCCTGCTCTGAGGGGCTGTAACAGCACAGTGACCAATCGCAACAGTCAGGGAGCTGGAGAAGGGGCTGCGAGCAGGTGTGTTTACGCAAAGGCCCTGGGCCAGCTCTCAAGGAATTGAAAGGTTAGTGTGGCAAGAACCCGAGGGAGGGTGTGAGTGACTCAGGATAGGAGGGGCACGAGGATGTAAGATCTAGGGGAGGGAAAATGGTGGCTGCGACAGGAGGGAGGCAAGATAACACTGACAAACCCAGGTGTGGCCCACAGGACTTAGCCATTGTAATTGGAGGTGGAGGCAGGAGGGGTGCCTGGTTTGATCTGCAGGTGTGGGGCACACACAGCTGGCCTACTGGAGGGCCCTCCCTGGTCTAGGGACACTAATTCAGCTGTGAGCATTTGCACGGGTGCTTGGAGACAGGCGACCCTGCCTGCCTTACCCCTTCCTAGAGCCTCCTTCCCCGAGGCTCTAGGAAGGCCACCACCTCGTGAGGCCTGCTCCGAATGGATTCCCCTCTTAGCCTCTCTCCATATCTGAGAACAGTTGGGGGCCAGCTGTGGCTGCCTCCCCTTTAGAATGTGACCCAGGAGGGGGCCTCCCTGGTGGCGCAAGGGGTTAAGCACAGCACTGTGAAGTTATTTGCAGCCACTACAGCACGAGTTCGATCCCCAGCCAGGGAGCTACCCACATGGCGCAGCAATCCTCACCTGACTTGCCTGCTGCTCCCCTCAGCAGAGTACTTCAGTATATCTGCCTGTTCTGTTCCCCACTCTGTCACTGGTGAATCCTCTCCCCGCCCCCATCTCTGGCCTGCACCCCAGCTCTTGAATGCATAAATAAATGAATCTTTAAAAAAAAAAAAAGGGGGGACCTCCCTGGTGGCGCAGGTGGTTGAGCGCCACACCGTGAAGCTGTCCGCAGCCTTTGCAGCGCAGGTTCAATCCCAGCCGGCCGGGAGAATCCCACATGGCTCGGCAGACCTCTCCTGTCTCCCCGCTGCTCCCCTCAGCAGTGTATTTCAGTAGGTCCGTCTGTTCTGCTCCCCACTCTGTCTCTGGTGAATCCTGTCACCCCCCACCCCTCTGGCCTGTACCCCAGTTCTTGTATGCATAAATAAGTAAATCTTTTTTAAAAAAAAAAACAATGTAACCCAGGAGAGCACAGACCTTAGCTCGTGGCAGAAGCTCATGACGGTCGAGCGAATGAGTGAATGTCCACGTCAGCCAACATTTCCAGGTTTCAATGCCAAAGAGAGGTGACAGAAAGGACACAGTTCTGGGTCCCCAAAAGTCAGGGGTTGGGGTGTCAGATGCCCACAGCAGCTGAGGCCCCAGAGTCTGTGCCTTTGGAAGGTTCTAGGAACAGAGGAGCAGAGGCAGGAGAGAAGGGCAGCTGAGCCGGGCACAGCACTTCCGGAAGGGACGTGGGGATGAGCCGAGACCCTGTCCTGGGGTCCCTTCAAGGGCCCCCCATAGTGCATCTCCGCGAGTCCAACTTGGCGCCGCAGCACCTGCCTTTGTGGATGGACGGGCACTGGCCAGCGCTTCTGACCTTGAGTCCTCTCCGTAGCGTTGAGAGGTCTGCTGAGCTGGGATTTTGTCTGGAGATTTGGTTGCATTTTTTTAGCAGCCCTGACAGGTTGTCGTGAATTCACAGCTCTTAAAGTCGCCGTGGTCGGGCTGGAGGGCCCGGGCTGTCTGTTTTGACTTTATAAATAGCCAAGAGGGGAAGTTGAAGTCAATATTTCATTTTTATATGGTCTGTTCACTCCAAACCTGCCAAGTGATCAACTGCATTTGCTGATGACTTTACAAAAAGGAGAAATGTATAAATGCCCGCAAGTGACCGCGGGCACCGTGGAGCGGGGTCAGAAGAGACCAAATTAGCAGCCTCCTCCCTGCCTTCCTGCTGAGTCACCAGCACGCAGCCTGAAGTTGCTGCTTTTAGATATTTTGTTCCCTATCCCCAAATCGGTAGAATACATGCAATTAGTGTGGATTTCCTAACGGCCATCCTAGGTTTAAAAAAAGAAAACAAAAACAAGACCTTCTTGTGATGGTCTGCTCATGGTAATATCAGGCCATTCATTGCAACAGATGGACCACGTGAAATGGTAGTGGGTAAACCCAAAGCAGCAGGCTGGATCAAGGTGCAGGCAAAGCATTTCTGGGGACCCAGAGGAAGGAGACATTGCCAATTGTTCATCTACATGAAGTTGCCCACACATAGTAGGTGCCCAATAAAAGATTCTCAGCACCTGGTGATTGTTTAACACAGTCCACATTTGCTCTCCTGAATTTGCTGCAGGGTCAGAAACTGGAAATGCAAGGACTCCCTGTCCGCACACAGTGGGCTGGGAAAGGAAGTTGGGATAAGAGCAATGAGGTGAGCTGTTGCTCCACACAGCCTGGATGAACACCTAATATTGCAGTCGAGAAGCCAGACACAAATGAAGACATCATTTGCCTAAACAGTGCAAAATTAGATAAAATCACCTATAAGGGTAGAATCACAATAGTGGTGATTCTTGGGGGATGGGTAGTGTGTAAGGGAGCAGGCAGGGGGGGGCTTTGGTGCTGGTGATGTTCTGTGTATGCTCTGGGTGCTGGTAATAGGGTTTGTGGAGACTTACCAAGCTGTACACTTAGGATTTGCGAGCTTTTCTGCCAGGATGATGTCATGGAATGAACTGTATTCCCCCAACATTCACATGGGGAAGCCCCAACCCCCCCGTGTCTATATTTGGAGACTGACCCTTTCATTATTTACATTAATATAATAATAATGAATATACAACAATGTAATAATTAATAAATGTAATTAAGCTGAATGAGGTCACAGGGCGCGCATCCCAGTCGAACAGGACTGGTGTCCTTGCAAGGAGAGACGGCGGGTGAGCACACAGAGGGCAGACCTGGAGGACATGGTGCAG